CTTTTCTTTTATGAATTCATTTTTGATTGATATTGCTTTATATTGCCACATTATTAATATTTTTTATTTTATTTATTCTTCTTTTTATTCCACGTTTGTTTTTTTCATTTTGTATTGATTTATTTTTGTAATTTGGCACTCTCACTACTCCATATTTAGGGACTCAGTGCCTAACTGCAGCTGCAGAGTTTGGTTTATGACTGTGGTCCAGCCAAATGCTGGCTAATTATTTACCATTACATGTTTGATTAACCTGTTACCACCAGATTTGTCATGAACTCACTTATTGAGATGCATCTCAGCTATGTGTGGTAGGTCAATCGGCAGGGCTTTTACATAAATTAGTTAATATGCTACATAGAATTCCACATTTCAGCATTTTAAATACACATTCGCAAAGTTTGTTCTACATTTCTCAAGTTTTCTAATCTTACTTGATACAAATTTTCTGAAGTAATGCAGGAGCTGTGGCACTGAACAGCAGAACATAGGTCACATGACTAAGCACCTACTTTATTATACATTGCAGCACTTAAGTTTAACAGATTCAAATCTTCATCCATTAAGCTGGATACCACGGTAGGCAATACTCCAAAAGTCCGATTGCACTGAACATACAGTCGGTGCTCTGAGATGCTGAACCTCTGAAAATCTAAACTGCTAATCATTTACTACTGATGGTCTTTGTGGAATAACATTGGTAATCATTTACCCACCTGTCATGGTACTTTGAACTCCTCTGTTCTTGATATACACACTGAGGAGAGGTCAAAATCAAGGTCAAAATGAGGTACAGAGAACGTTTCAAGGATTGTAATATCTGCTAAAATCTTGACCTCCAAAAAGTACTGCAGGCTCAGCAACTAATCTGCTTGGTATGTCAACAGCTTTGCTGACAGTTCTGATCATATCAGGATGATAGACAGCATGCAGGTATACTTAGACAATGAGTCATTTCCCTTTACTCAGCACAGAAACTTCAACACATTAAAGCTCAGCCACTGAAACAGAATCGCTATAAGGTTGTGCAAAAGCAAAAAGCTGCTTTGATTCAAATGTTGTGCATAATATTCCATGTTTACTAAGATTTATTTCATTCCAGTGTTGCACTAGTATAACAAGCATTATGCATCCAATGTTAACGTTGCTAAAAATGGGTTAATACTCTTGGAGAATAAGATGTATTATAATCGTTGCAACTGATGTAATTATTGTCAAGTTACTCTAACCAATTAATAGCAACCTGCTTTATAAGAAACCTTTGGGGACCACGAATGGTTGCCTCAGGAAAAATGTCTGCACCAAATTTTGTCTCAATCGGTGGAAATGTCATCAAGACATTTGACACAAAGCTGAACACGTCTGGAATTCATCCTCTGGGGACCATAAATGCACATTCAAGATTTCACCCTAAATCTTGAGGCTGAGGTTAAGGGTCCTTTTGAGTTTTTATTCCAGACCAAGTTACATTTATTAGAATTCATCCAACGTAAGTTAAGTTGCACTTGTGTAAAGCTTGTTTTTTCAACTGTAAACTTGAAACCTTTGTTAAGTGTCTCCAGTCAGCAGTATTTAATCACATGTCTCTCATCTTTCCCTCATTCACATGCGCCATTCACAGACTAATCAGCGACATAATGTCATTGTAGTGGCCTTTATCCGAATCTTAGCCATTCAAATAAAATTCACAACCCAGAGCCTTACTTTAAACTGAATCCTAACACCAACACCTGACCCTTGAACAGCCCTTGGAAGGTGGCTCAGAACGTGAGGACGTGCCAAATTATGGCTTTCTGTAAATTATTCTCACTCAAAAGGTCTAAAGTGAAACCGGATTGCATACAGATAGCCAACCAATACACACACTGCATACTTTAAAGATGCCATACATCATCAGATCACCATGTTGGAAGAAAGATGAACATTACATTTCATCTGTTATGTTATTGTGTTACTTAAATGACGAAAATGGGATGTCTGCTTCTGCTGAAGTTGTTAATTTGCCGAACAATGAGGTCATTACATGGACTATTTTCACTTGAGGTATTTTACATACATTGGTGAAATATTCAAATATAAACTGTGTAAATAAACCGTATATAAATGAACGCGCATACAACATGTAATTGGGATCAAATTTGATAGTAGCATAATAGCTAAGGCAGAAGTTTACTGATTTTAGATCTTGAATTTAATTTTTTTTATTGCTTAGTTTCGTGTGTTTTTTCTTAGATATTAACTCATTAGATGTGTTTTCTTTTCTGTCAGCCCTGTCTAAAAAAAAAAGACCTTCCTATTAAACTGAACTGCATTCTCCCATTTATATTTTGAAAGGAAAAATGTTTTCTCCTGAATTATGTTTGTGACACATGAATATGTCCATAATGACGACACCTCTGTCATTTCATATGCCATATATCTGATGGGACATGGACTCATCTCACTGGTAACCCAGAAATCAGAGGAGAAGCTTTAAACATGTGAAAGTTTACAATAAATTTTAGTGCCTTTAGCTCTGGCCTCCTGGGTGTTTGCTCGTGATCTCACCCTCCTGTTTGAAAACGTAAACGAGAATGCGGTTTAGCTGTGTAGGATGTCTTAGAGGCAGGGCTGCTTACACAGCGTGTGCTGAAAGTTGCTCTTTTTGACGTACTTTGGCTCCTTTTTTTATTATTTTCTTTTTTGAACCTGAGAATTGAAAGTGTGTATATGATGTGTTTGCATTCTTGTTTTATTATTATTATTATTATTTAGTTAGTTGTAGATGTAGTGCTTAGCGTGCCATCTTTTTTTTAACCACACTGGCTTCAGTGCGCTCAGTCGCTTCAGGTCACAACTCAGCTTTGAAGCCCCGTGGGTTGAAGTGTCTTGTCTTCTCTCATGATCAGCCTTAAGGAAACTCGAGACTGGAAAGAATGACTGAAATAGCCGTTTCCTGTGTGCATGTCATGTGAAAAGTTGTTTCCCCTGAATAAATAAACCATACAAACATCTTTGCCTTAAGTAAATTTGAAGTCTTTAAGCGATATGTGTAACATCATTCACTCGACACTTTTAAAGGACAGCTTTACATTTGTTTTCAACGTCGTTACTTACATATTAAAAGCTGCCGGTCACTGTACTTATTATTTCATGCCCTGCTGGTGATTCCTGATTTGATTTTAGGCCTCTCAGTAGCTCCTTTTATACCGAGAAGGTTTGATTTATTACAGCAATTAACTCTTAACTCTTATTCAATCATTGCTTTTTTTGATTTCTCCAATTGTTGTGTGTTTTGTCTCTGTGAGTCCACTTTATAGAGGAACAACCAGAGCACTCCCTTATGGTTTAATACCGCAATGACACCAGATTTGTACTCAGTTTACTGCTTCTCTCTTTTGAAGCTCCCTCATCATCAGACATTTCCTGTGTTAGCATTCACAGCTAAAATAAGCTGCAGCAGGATAACTATTGACTGTTTTGTATTTCATGGTTATAAATCTATTTCATTTACGTTTTCAATATACGCCACTAAGAAAAAAAAAAACATATAAGGAAATGCTATTTCATTGTAAGTTACCAGTGGGCATGTTGTTAAGCACAGAGATAAAAAATCATGTGACAAAGTGAGAAACTGTGGACTTCCTGGGTACATGTGGTGGTTTATTTTCAGTCTCGCCCTTTCACACTTGTAGCCTGTACGATACTGTCAATGTCCGGTGTGACCATGAAGTGTCTGTTCAAATGCTGATTAAAACTCTTCTGATAATGGTCCTGTGTTCAGAGCTGCATTAATCCACGAAAGAAGTCCACTTCCACTCAAACATGCATTTTGGTCATTGTTACATGGGGACGGCGTCTTTTCACAACTTGACACTTTAAAGTTATTCTGCTGAAATTTGAAAGTTGCTCTTCCAAAATTTGAGTTGAAGACTAGTTCCAGGAAGCAGGTTTCATGACACTGGAACTAGTTTAATAGGTAATTTATTCATATGTGAAGCATGCATTACACAAACAAAAAGTATAGACGTTTAGATGTGTATCTAACACTTTAAAATGCAACATATTTACAGTTTTGTAGGTTCTGCATTTTTCAGTGAAGGAGGAGACATCATTTTACATATTTCAATCCAGACAATTGAGTTTTCCCTTTGAAAAAATCAGAGATTATTCAAAGCACAGTACTTTCATACATTTCCAGTTAGGAATGGGTTAAATAACTGTGTAGTCTGAATGTTTTTGCTACTAGTGCCCCCCTCATTATCCGACTTAAAAGTACCTGCGTAGCATTAGGTAAGTCAAGACGGAAGCCCACCCACAGTCACTGCGGCTTGTCTCACACTGTTCTCGTTAAAGGGATTTTTTTTTTTCTTTCTCCACACCGTCACCAAAGTGCTTGCTTAAAAGGAATCATTGGGTTTCTCACTATAATATTTTTAGGCTTTGATCTCACCCTGATGACATGTTGTATGATTTCATGGCATTTAAATTCAAACGAAAGACAAAATTAGCAACTGCTAGCACAGTGAGAAAATTAGGAGCTGAAGAGCCGGACATTTTCTTAACAGTTTGCACCTCACAAACTGATTCCATTTACCGTAACGGCTTTAAAGGGTTATGCACCAGATTACATACAGTACATTATTTGAAATGGCAATTTATACCCCTTGATAGCATTGAAAAAAACACAGGTTTTCTTTTACATACTTAAAGGTGGGTGAGGGAGATGCCGCCTTCGTTCGAGTTCCAGGCAGTTTTCATAAACATCTTCTGTTTTCTGGCTCTGTTAGGGGGAGAAAAAAAAAAAAACAGAGCAAAATTTAAATGTAGTCTGCATAAAGTGACTTCAGCCCAGCTGACATTTAAGGCTTTAGCCTCTCAGTGGGCAAGATGAAAGCTACTATACTTGCCTTTACTGCAGTGGGGGGCCGACTGCTATTTCTGTAAAGAAAAGAGATGTTGTTTTTAAAAATATTACTGTAGTGTAAAGAATCAAATGTTTTTTTAAAAATGACGGGATGAAAATGCAACTTACGCTCTATTCCGTTTGCAGAATATTATCAGAATGACGAAACCAATTACAAAAACCAGGAGAACCACAGCAAAAGGAAGAGCTGACGTCAGCATGTCCGAGTTCTCGGTGCTTTCTGGAAAAGAGAACAGTTTGTAACTCATTTCACTGTAGGTCTCGTGTGAAGTTAAGCTAAGCTGGTATGATTGTTAGGGCACTGATAATAACGACGGCCAGAAGCATTGTTTTTACAAGTTGTCTGTCTGTCTGTCTGTCCTGTTCTACGAGTGCAATGTGTTTGGCAAATGCCTTGAGAGAGTTTCTGCAAATTTGGCACCAACATCCACTTGGACACAAAGATCTAACTGGATTTTTGTAATCAGAGGTCAAAAGTCAGAACTCAGTAATTCATTTGTTAATCGTGACAAAAGTCTAAGTGAATACATGATAAGCTGATGCCGTGTTATGTCGAAAACATCCCTGTGACATGATGATGTGCAAAAGCTTTCTTGTGGCCATCATTCAATGGCATAACTAACACCAGTTTGGTTACACTAGTCATGGGTGCCACTTTGAAACTACGCTTCCCTGTTGCCGAGTTGAAGATGTGTGTGTGACGCATATACATTTTAGATTGTGTAACTTTTCTGCACCAACATTTTCCATCCTGGCTACACCTATGTTCTGGCAGAATTTGTTTATGACCAAACATGTGATCGCATGCGAGTAATTCCCTTTAAAGTCTCCACTATGTCGAGTCTGGACAGAGATGCAACTTGACTACTTGGCAGCGATGTGAAAACGCAGGGCGGTACGGTAGATCTGTCTGTAAGCTCTGTCTAGACGCTAGATGAGTGGTTGTGTTGGAGTTTACACAACAGCATAACATAGCAATCTTCAATAATCCGTTCACTTTTTTGTGTTGCCACAGAAAATCCTCATGTTAATCAACTCTTAAGAACAAATAGAACTGCACACCTTTAATTATAAGCCTCCAGTTCTGTTCCCAGACTCCCGTGTCCGTGGTGGTCTCACAAGTGTAGTTTCCCGTGTGATTTGTCTGGGCGCTCTCTATGATGAGCTCATAGAGCTGGCTCTCAAATTTGGACATATTCAGGTACAGATTGGTAGCTTCTGTACTGGTGTGTAATTGTCCCCGAAACATGTAAGTAAACACGTTAACTCTGTTCATCTTCCACGTCACCTGACTGAGCGTGCTGATTGACGTGTTGTTACATTGCAGGGTTACTCTGCTGCCGACCACCTTCGAGACAGTTTTCCATTCTGTTTTCACTTTGAAGAAGAAGAAAAAAGATGGTAGGTTGATTTTGTTCCATCCACATTGTCGCCATTAACAACTGGAAAAGTTTGACATTTTGAGAAATGTTTTTTTTTCCCTCCATAAAGTTCATACACTTTTTTTTTTTCTGTAGCTGTCATTTTAAAAATCCCACTCACAATGAGAAACCCTAAAAATGGCACATTTTAATTTGGACTGTGCAGTAATGTAGGTCTGCTTGGTTCTTTCAGTTAATAGATTTGCAAAGAATGTGTGGGCAGCGTTTGCTGTGTAACAATAATATTCTTTGACCACCATTTATGGTTAAAGTTTCTTTTTCCAAGTATGTTCCACCTTAACAAGTTCCCTATGATAATATATTGCCGGGGGGGCACCATCGCTCTATCCTGGCCTTAGCACTCCTTAAAAAGGATTGTGATTGGTTTAAACACAGACAACCAAGCCAGACCAATTTTTTCTCCTGTACTGTGGAGGTTTGACTGGTCCAAAAGCAACACAATTCTGACTACGAGCACTTCCTACACACAAAACTCACAGATAAAAACATCTGGTAGTTCATATTTAGCTTCTTTCTTGCTTTACAGAGACAAGAGTCAAATAAAATTCCCTACTTTAAGCGGGGGAAAAAAAAAAAAACACATTCTGAAATTGTCAAACTGTTCCTGTAACTGTGTCAGAGTGAGTGTACTGTGAATCGTTTTACCTCCTGGCAAGAAAATACAGAAGATGCAACATATCAGAGTCAAGGTCCCGTTGATGCCCAAATATCTAGAAAAATCCTCCATCCCACCTTGAAACAAAAATAATTCATTGTGAATATTACGTTTATGTGGGTTTGAAAAAGATGTCAAAATTCACAACACAAAGGGTTTGCAAATCTAAATCAGCAGATTTTTCCTGTTTATTTTAGTTCAAGCTCACAAATATCAGCAGGAGATCAGAACAAACACGTGTTTGTAAAATTATAATTAATATTGAAAGTAAAAATCATAAAGAAGATCACATCCTCTCCCAACGCAGTTAGTAGTGTGACTTCAGTAACTTACCGGTGGTGAGTATCTACAGCTGTTGGGTCTTCTTATCGTATTAGTTCCAACTAGAAAACTGTAAGAACACGAGTAGTGAGTAGGAGCCTGTAGAACTTACACACAGGTGAATTAGTAAGGTTAAACCTGACCAGAGGGTCGACACACATAGAAACGTTTCCTGGCAGGAAGTGAGTGCTGGCTTGACTTTCGAGGTCTGTGGTCATGTGATGTGTTTGAAGTCTGCAGAGGATGTTGTCAGACCTAACCTACTGAAACTAGAAGTTTGCATACACAATATAAGAAGACATAAAACTTTTTCCTTTTTTTTCTCACTGTCTGACATTAAATCAGACTAAACTTGCTAAACGGCAGAATCATGAGAGAGAAGTTTTTTAACCCTAGAACACTAACGCCGGGTGATTTTCACCCGCACGATTTTTGTCATGTGGTTTTCATTGTGTTGCTGCTGTCTGAGCTGCATGGGTCCTTGGGTAGCTTCAGGCTGCTCATTGACGTCATTCATTTGTTTCCCACCTCCCATCTATGGTTTATTCAAGAGGCATGCGTTCGGGTGATTTTCACCCGGGGTTAGTGATGGAGGGTAACATATTTTATGGATGGAATTTACCCAATGCTAGTGTTTATGTGTTGAAATCAGGCACTCTTTGCACTTTTCAAGGGAAACAACATTCAGGCTACATTCTCTGCCCCATTTCATCCACAGCTGTCATCCTGTCACAGGCCTAGTTTCTCTGCAATGCTAACAAGTGAGTAACATGTAGCTAATGTTCATTTACATCTGCAGTGAAATTCCTGACTGAGCACACTAACGTTAAAATTAGTAACACCATCACTAACGCCGGGTATATTTTACCCGATATAATATTCTGGATAAAATATAGTTTTCATCAATTTATGTAAAAGTACAACACTGTATGACAAATTGTAGGACTGGGACATGTGAGCCTTGTCTGGTGAAGGCTCAGTTTGGTTCTGGTGTGGAGTCTGTCTAAGGAAATTCATGTAGTCAAAAAAATTTGTTAATTTTTCCCCTCTCAAAAAACGCCATTTTTTGTCAATCTCTGTCACAGCTGTCAGTGATGCAGGAAGACTGTACCTTCACCAGACAAGGCCCACATGTCCCAGGAATGGCTGGACCAAAGAACAAATTCCCAGCTCCATTATTTTTTCTGTTTGGAAATTTCTCGTTCAGGATTACCTGATTTTTCAATCATTTTGCTGCCTTTTTATAGGGTCCCCCATGGTACCTTTTTTTTTAATTTTATGTGATATTGTATATTTGGAAATTAAAGAAGAGTACAACAATTTGTCATGCAGTGTCGTACTTTTACATAAATTAATGAAAACTATATTTTATCCAGATTATTATATCGGGTAAAATATACCCGGCGTTAGTGATGGTGTTACTAATTTTAGCGTTAGTGTTCTAGGGTTAAAGAATTTTTTCCTACTTATTTCGAAGTCAGAAGTTTACATACACTATGACTACTATACCTTCAAATTATTTGGGAAAGCCCAGATGATGATGTCATGGCTTTGGAAGCTTTTGATAGGTTAATTGGAGGCACACTTGTGGATGTATTTTAAGGCACACTTCAAACACACTGCTTCCTGTTGTGACAATATGGAAAATCTAAAGAAATCAGCCAAGATATTAAGAAGAGAATTGTGGACCTCCACAAGTCTGGTTCATACATCCAAGTCTGGTACAATTTCCAGATGCCTGAAGGTTCCACTTTCATCTGTTCTGTTATGGCCGCCCCCCGTATTCTGAGAAACTCCACCTCTCTGTCCTCAGTAGGTGTGAGTGTGTGGTGTGTGTTGTCTGTGTGTGTGTGTGTGTGTGTGTGTGTGCGCACGTCTCAGTTTACTCAGTTTGCTCTGCAGCAGGAAGTGATTGAGCTGATGTAACTCCATCCACCGATCTACCAATCAGGAGCCACCAGGAGGCTATAAGACGCCAGCAGACCAGCATTTGTCATCAAGCTGTCGTCAGCCCTGCTCAAGTGCCTCTTTGTGTCTTATGATTATGATTGTTGTACTTTTGGGAACATGTTAAGGCACGAGATTCTGCTTGAGAACCACCTTAGATTGACTGTTAGCTTCACTAGCATTTGAGGGCTGTTCTGATTGTATTTTTATTATTAGATTGGGTTAGTTGGATCATTTTTACTTTATTTTTCTGCATAATAGCAACCTCAAACTCTAGGTTAGAGTCTCCTTTTGTTCTCGTTTCATAGCACTCATTTAGACTTTATTTGCCTCATTTTTGTGTTTGCTGTTCAATCTTAACTTTTGTTAATGAATAACTTTAAAACACCTCGCAAAATCAGGGTTTTATGTTACTTCCCTTTTCCCTAGCGAGCTGGTCGTAACATGGTCAAACAATTATATGAAGTATAAACACAAGAGGAATTTCCAGCCATCATATTGCTCAGGAAGGCGACGAGTTCTGTGTCCCAGAGATAAAGTGTTTTGCTGCGAAATGTACAAATCAACCCCAGAACAAAAGCAGAAGACCTTGTGAAGATGCTGCTCAAGCTGGTAAGAGAGAGTCATTATCCTGTACCGACATGGGCTGAAAGGCTACTCAGAGAGGAAGAAGACATTACTCCAAAAGCAACATAAAAAGGCCAGGTTACAGTTTGCAAATGCACACAGGGACAAAGACCTTCATTTTTGGAGACATGTCCTGTGGTCTGATGAAACTAAAATTGAACTGTTTGGCCATAATGACTGTCGTTTCATTCGGAGGAAAAAGGGGAAGAGCTTGTAAGCCTGAGAACACCATCCCAACTGTGAAGCACGGGGGTGGCAGCATCATGTTGTGGGTGTGTTTTGCTGCAGGAGGGACTGGTGCACTTTACAGAATAGATGGCCTCATGAGGAAAGATCATTATGTGGAAATACTGAAGCAAGATCTCAAGACATCAGCCAGGAAAGTTTTAGCTTGGGTGGAAATGGGTCCTCCAAATGGACAATGACCTGAAGCATACCGCCACATTAGTTACAAAGTTGTTTAAGGACAACAAAGTCAATGTTTTGGAGTGGCCATCACAAGCCCCTGATCTCAATCCTGTAGAAAATTTGTGGGCAGAGCTGAAAAGGTGTGTGGAGCAAGGCAGCCAACAAACCTGACTCAGTTCCACCAGTTCTATCAGGAGGAATGGGTCAGAATTCTATCAAACTATTGAGTGAAGCTTGTGGAAGGAAACCCAAAACATTTGACCCAATTTATACAGTTTAAAGCAGGGGTGTCCAATCCTGGTCCTCGAGGGCCACGGTCCTGCATGTTTTAGATGTTTCCCTCTTCCAACACACCTGATTCAAATGATCAGGATCGTTATCAGGCTTCTGCAGAGCTTGATGATGAGCTGATGGTGGCCCTCGAGGACCAGGATTGGACACCCCTGGTTTAAAGGCATTTTTTCCAAATACAAAGGAAATGTATGCAAACTTCTGACTTTAAAGAAAGTAATAAAAAGTTGTTGTTTTTTAAAATCTCTCTCTCTCATTATTCTAGCATTTAGCAAATAGAAATAGTTTTGTACCACAGCCAGAGAGTAAGTGAGATACCACAGACCTCATAACATGCTCTCATTTTCTTTTTCAACCTTCAAAAAGCAACTTTCAGGACGCTATCAAGTATAGCCTTGAAACTGGATGTGAAATAGACCGTGCGGCACACCTGACGCCTTTACACGCTGAAACTGAAAATGCAAACAGACCAGGGTGGTAGTTTGGTGGAAATGGCAGTTTTTCCACTAAAACAATGGCACCATTCTCACAAGCTGGTTTTGCTGAAGTCACGTGGGAAGTGAGTAGTATGAAACTAAGACAAACAGAGTTCTGGAATTTGCCTTGACAAGGTGTGAGCATGAAGTCAAACATAGAGTTCATTCAACCGACACACACACACACACACACACAGTTGAAACCTGAAACACACACACACAGTTCATATGACGTGTGTGAATGTGCTTCTTCATTTTCAGACTGTACTTGAGGTCAACCTTGTGTCTTATTGCAGAAACACCAGACGTCTCTCTCACCAGTGACTAAAGAAGACTGTGGTTCATAACAGAAAAATAAAACAAAAAACAAAACGTAGGATAACCCAAACACTGGCAATCTACTGTTAAAATATTAAATTTTGTGAAAGCACTGATAGCTTACTACTGACACGAGCATGTCTATGAATGTATGAGTTGTGCTGATCTGAAGAAGGGGAAAGAAGGATTTAAGCAGGCCTTGAGAGACTGAAGTGACGGAGGTTAGGTCAGGTCATGAAGGAGGAATGCAGCTCCACACCCACAAATGTTGTTTACAGATTTTCTGAACCAGTGATGGAGTCTTGTTTAAGGAGAATATGACATTGTAGAATAAATAGCATTAAAAGAGTGAAGTTGTTGGTCTTCGATCTCAAAAAACGGACATGCCTCAAGACTGTCCTGTAAAATATTTGAGTTGTCTCATATGACTCGGTTCTCCAAAGCTCCAATGTCAGGTGGCTCAGAATGAGTAACTGATATCTCTACAGTTTGTCTTTGGTTTAGGCGCCACTTCGTCTGACCACTAAAATATTTTTATGATTATATTTAGATTGAACCTGTTCTTGAGCAGTACTGTGTGATTTGCTACAGTCCCTCCATGAAATAAGCTGTGTTTGTCATGAACTCACTAACAGATTAGGTGGACACAAATGCTCGACTCAGTAGGTTCAGGCAAAAGACAGGTTTAATGGCAGTCAGGGTTCGGTACACAGGAAATCAGTCCAACAGGCAGAAGTATCCTAGGATCGGCGGGCAGAGGCAAGGTCCAAAAAGCAGAAACAAGGTCGAGATCAAACAAGCAAAGGTATCCAAAATCGTCAGACAAGAGGCAAGGTCCAAAAAGCAGAGACAAGGTCGAGATCAAACAGACTGTGACTTAACTTGAATAACGCTGGTACGAGGACTGCGAAGTGCAACGAACTGGCGACGAGACAGTAAGACACAGGGTAAAATACACGAGGTAATGAGGGTAAATGGGAAACAGGTGCGGGGAGGTAATCAGGGAGCAGGTGAGACGAGACCGGTACAGGAACTAGAACAGAACACCCAGTGAAATGATTTCAAAATAAAACAGGAACGACGAGACATAATGTGCAGACATGACAGTGTTAAAAGTGGAATGCACTGTGCTTTGGAGCTTCTTCTTAACTGTAGGTGAGACCTCTCATTTCTCCTCACCACTTGTCCCTTAACATTT